AGTCATAACATTTAAAAGGTTTCTGGATGGGTACATGAATAGCAAAGATTTAAAAGGATATGGGCCAAATGGGACCAGATCAATTTAGGATGTCTGGTTGGCAAGGATAAGTTGGACCGAAAGGTCTGTTTCCATGCTGTTTAGCCCTGATTCTGGAAGGGGAAGTGGCGTGTCTCTTCTTGCAGTAAAAATGCCTAGGAAAGCAAGTCACCTTTTCCCACCATTCTGTAGTTACAGGGTCCTTGCAGTGGAATTGGTGCATTACTGCAAACAGCTCAAATTACAACATGCTATGCTTACATTGGCACTTCATTTATAAACCCTTTCTGCATATTTATAATGTAAGAGCACTGTACAAGTTTTATTTTAAAATGGGACTGAATTATGTCTGCAAACTCTCTGGTTCCTTGTCTGAAAATATTTGGTCTTGAATCATATCCAATGTCATGGTTGGCTTACTGTCTGACTACTTTCAAATTGACGTGCAAGTAAATAATTAGATAAAATTAACACTAAATATTGGGGAAAAAATACATTAGTCTATGAAAATACAAGTGCAATTTATACAATTTCCTTGTAATAAAGCTAGCTACAAAGCAAGACGGTATTATTACCTTATGACTCAGCTATTCCATTAAAGTGTAAAAAGTAAATCTACATACCTGCAACAATTATTTTGTGATTTTTACATGGTTTAGTTCTGTTTTGGTAGTACTGTGAAGCAGGAAGATGTGCGGCTGAGTGTATTGCAACTACTAAGCAGACACCGTGTGGTATTTGGAGATTATGCCTGGATGGAATTTGATGATGAATTTCTAACAAAACATGTAAGCTCTGTATGCATTGTGGACACGGATCTTACATTTAAGGACAGACAGGTAAGGGGTTGATGGATGGAAATGTTAAAAATTATGAGTCAAACACTTTTGTAATAGTCATACAGCACAGAAACAGGCCATTTGGCCCAATTTGTCAGTGTCAACCAGGTCTTCTAAACTGAATTAGTCCCGTTTGTCTGTGTTTGGCCCATAGCCCTCTAAACCTTTCCTGTCCATGTCCAAATATCTTAAGTATTAGAACTGTACCTGCGTCTACTACTTCCTCTGGCAGCTTGTTCCAAATACACACCACTATGTGAGTGTAAGTGTAAGGAAGTTGCCTGTTATGTCCCTTTTAAATCTTTTCCCCCCTTGCCTCAAATCTATGCCATCCAGTTTTGGACTCCCCAACCCTGGTGAAAAAGACCTTGGGTATTCAGCTTATCTATGCCCCTCATGATGTTATAACCCCCTGTTAGGTTACCCTTCAGCCTCCTGCGCTCCAGGAGAAAAAAGGGTCGCAGCCTCACCTTTTAACTCAAAGCTTTCAATCTTGGCAACATCCTTGTAAATGTTTCGTGCACCCTTTCCAGTTTAATAACATCTTTCCTATAGCAGGGTGACCAGAATTTGTGCAAAGTACTCCAAATCAGACCGTACCAATGTCTTGTACAGCTGTAACATGACATTCGAACTCCTGTACTATTGTTAATGTTTGTCAAGAATTTGTTACAATGGTGTATTGCATTTGAACAATCTGGAATGTGTCTCTTAATGTGATAAAAGTACTTCTTTCTTCCCAGTAAGTACACTGTATAAGGAAAATGAACTCTCATTACAACTTGATTTGTCATTTTGTGGAGAAAGAAACTGTTGATGTTCCAAACTGGTGTTCTATTAGAACTGAAGTAAGTTTGTGATGTAGCAGATTCAAGCAAGTACAAGACGAGTTAAGTGAGGAAGAAAGGATAGGGCAGATTAAATTGCAGAAGAGATGAAACTGAAAGAGGTAGTAATTAGATAACAAAATACAAGATTGGTCTAGAAGAGATGTAAATAGGCAAAGGAAATGATCGGCAAAGGCTGTCATCCGAAAACACGCACATTCGTATTGCATGATGTTCAGCTATGTGACAAAGTTTGACTTTTGGAAGTTGATTCGTTTTCTGTAAATTAGATAAAGGATAAAGTGAGTGAAATGGCCAGTGCTGCAAATAGTACATCTGACCTTGCATCTGGGGTCATTTTCTGTGTGCTACAAGGTAACTAAGATGGGGGAAAGTGGATAATTCCAATTTGGATGAATTATTTTATTTCGGGAAGAAAATGCTTTCGTGTTCCACTTCAATACCTTTTCAAGAGATGTATTTAGTTTTCCCAATTAATTCTGACTGAAGTATACTGATCCCAAATCATCAAATGTGCTTGCTACTGCTAAATTATCTTCATTTTCTGTTTCAGCCTATTGACCTGACAAAATCCAGCATTTCAATTTATATATTTCGTCTAAATGAAGAAGGCCCAAGCTCTGATGCTTTGGAGGGGGAAGAGGAGAACATGCCAGCCTCAAATAACTGGCTTCTACCTGCTGGTACGTACCATAAAACCCTGTTGCAGAGGATGTTGCCAGGAGTGGAGGGTTTGAGTTACTTAAAAATGGGGAGTAGGGCTGGGACGGTTTTCAATGGAGTGTAGGAGATTGAGGGGTGACCTCAAATCCCTTTATTAAAATACGAGGGATGTAGCTAAAGTGAATAGCAAAAGGTCTTTTCCCTAAGGTGGGGGGAGTTCAAAACTAGGGGGCATATTTTTAAGGTGAGAGGAGAAAGATTTACAAAGGACATAAGGGGTTTCGGGGGGTTGGGGGGGCAACCTATTTTTTACAAAGTGGTTAGTGTTTGTAATGAATTGCCAGAGAAAGTGGTGGATGCAGGTACAGTTACAACATTTTAAAAGACATTTAGATATGTGAAATGTTTGGAGGGATATGGGTCAAACGCAGGCAGGTGGGACTAGTTTTATTTGGGAATATGGTTGGCATGAACTAGTCAGACTGAAGGGTCTGTTTCCATGTTGTATAATTCTGACTCTATTCCTATGTTGTAAAATTTAACTAAGAGCAACGCTGCACCACCTGACTGGGAAATCCTTTTGTTCTATTTGTAAGGGTTAAAGGGATTTGGGTTGAAGAATTCCCACGAAATATTGAAGCAACTTTCTTTGTAATGGGTCTGTTGTATCTATGTGAAATTAGAGCTTGCATGTAAGAAATATGAAATTAAATCAGACATTCTGGAAAATTTTAGCAGGTTTGGCTACATGGACAAAGAAATGGAGTTAATGTTTCAAGTTACATCTTTTCGGATCAGATGTCATCTGTCAACCATGGCTCGATGGTAGTGCTCTCGCTACTTAGTGTTGTAAATTTCTTTTTACATTAACTTGTGGCATATAGGTGTCACTGGCTTGGCCAGCATTTATTGCCCATCCCTAGCTGCCCTTGAGAAGGTGGTGTGGAGCTGTTGTCTTGAATTGCTGCAGTCCATTTGGTTAAGGTAGATCCACAATTAGTAGGTAGGCCCATTAGGAAATGGAATTCCAGTATTTTGACCCAGCAGCACAGAAGGAATAGCAATATATTTCTAAATCAGGCAATTGAGTGGCTTGAGAGGGATCTCGCAGGTAATGGTGTTCCATGTGGCTGCTGCTCTTGCTATTTTAGATGACATGGTCATGTATTTACTTCATATGGATAGCAGTGGAGTAGGGCTTTTTTTTCTTGTTTTTCTCTCTCTTCTTCTCTTGCCTCTTGTTGAAAAGCTTGGTCATGGCGGCAAGTGAGCCCAGCACAGACTCGTGGCAGCAGAGGCAAGTTTGGGTTCCCAGTGGCTCTGTATTGACGAGACAGTCGGAGCGTCAACTCATGGCTGTTGGGCAGAAGCAAGTTTGGGTTCCTAGCAGTGTCTGAATCCAGCATAGTTTCATGGCAGCAGCGGAGGCAAGGTTGAGTCTGGTATGAGACCTGGCTGTATTGGCAAGGTGGCCCCAAAGCAGATTCATGGTGGCAGCGAAGCTGAGTTTGGGCTGTTGCGGTGTCCGGTGGCATCTGCATTGGTGAGGGCGTTGGTGGGAACGAGATGGTACCGAAGAGTGGGGACTTTCATTCCAGCTGTAGCACAGCGAAAGGAGCTTGTGTTTGGCCACCTGGCCTATGATGGGGCACATAACAAGAAGGATTGTAAAGCTGAACAATTTTTCTTCATACTTTATTTTTCTGCCTTTTATATTCTATGTTTTGGTTTATTTTTGTGCTTTTAAGATGGTGCTGGAGAGTGGCAACACTATACAACATTTTTCACTGTTTTGTAACAAAATATGCGTGACAATAAATAAATCAAATATACTGGCTAAAAAACTTCTGTGAATTTATGCAGTATATGTTTTAGATGGTACATGCTACCTATACTGATCATGGGCGGTGGAGGCAGTGAATGTTTGTAGATGTGGTACCAAAATCTTGGACTTTTTCCTGAATGGTGTCAAGTTTCGGATGTTGGAGTTGCACTCATCCAGGCAATTGGGTGTATTCCATCTGTTGATTTGTGCCTTGTAAATGGTGGACAGACTTTGCGGAGTCAAGACGTAAATTATCACTGCAAGTTTTCTAGCCTCTGACCAGCTCCTGTAGCCACAGTATTTATGTCTAGCCCAGTTTATTTTGTGGTCAATGATAGCCCACCAGGATGTGGGAATTCAATGATGGTAATGCCATTGAATGCAAAGGTGATGGGTTAAATCCTGTCTTGTTGGAAATGACTATTGCCTGGCACTTGTGTGACAAGTAAAAATTGTACCACATGTCCATCTAAACCTGGATATTGTCTGGGTCTCGCTGCATTTGGGCATTGACTGCTTCAATATCTGAGGAGGGGGAATGGCGATGAACATTGTTCATCATTGCACATTCAAATAAAAGCAAAATACGGATGCAGCTGGAAATTTGAAACAGACTAAGAAACTCGGCAGGTCTGGCAGCAGAAACAGTTAATGTTTTAAGTCTAATAAGCCCATAAGACATAGGAGCAGAAATTAGACCATTTGGCCCATCGAGTCTGCTCCACCATTCAGTCATGGCTGATATGACTCTTCTGGTGAGCATCATCGCAGCTGACCTTATTGACCTTGTGCAAGTCATTGTAGCAACTGTACGTGGCTGTGATAGTTGGAAAGACACCCTCAGTGGTGGAAGCTGATTCAATAGCACCTATTCAAAGAGATTTGGATATTTTCTTGGAAGATTTGCAGCGCTACGAGAAACGAAGTCGAACCAATGAAAGCACTTCAGCAAAGGCACAGTTATTTAAAGAGCTTTCCTTCTACATTGTACGTGTCCATAACTTGGCAAAAACAACTGTTCTGTAAGAATCCGAGATATCCCCAGCAAGTCACTCAAATTTGTGATAGTCATATTTACCACTGTTTTCCTGGGTTGTGGGTAAATATGCCCATGTTTCTACGGTAAATGAATAATCTGAAAGTTACAGCATCTCCTAGAATCAAACATTACATTATTCAGGTGAATAAAGAACAGCAAGTTTACAAACCATTTTAGCTTCTAATGTATGTTATGTTAATTCTTAGTGCATGTAAAAGACCATTTGCATAATATGGATGTTTATTTGTATAGATAGCTTTAAAAATCCTAGCCAGCTCATGATTACACTGGCTATTTATTACCTTTTCTAGGAAGCTGAATACCAAACTTTCTGTTAAGTCTGGCAATTCTTGTAGAAAAAAGAACTGCATATTTTCAGCTCTTATGAGCCTCAATCTCATTAATAACGTAATGAACTTTACAAACTTTGCTCAATATAGCTTTTAATTACCTATTTATAGGTGAGTTCCATGGACTCTGGGAGAGCTTGATATATGATAGTGAGGTTAAATCACAAGTAAGTGCTTTTAAAACTTACCGCAGTACTCTAGCTATGATGGAATAAACTGCTTGACATGCTTAAGAATAATCAATTGTTGCTAATCATGCTAAAATATCTAATTTATCAAGATTTGCTGACATAATTGCTAATAGTTTAATAATTTAGCATTGGCCTATGACCTGATTACTTTTTCAAAATCAACTCTTGTGTATACCAATATGCTGAAAAGTCATAGGGATGTACAGCACAGAATAAAAATATCTTTGATTCTTTAAAGTCATCTGTCACAGAATTGTCCCTTTAAAAAATTGTGTTTTTCCCATTGCAGTCCTACTCGTTTATGTTGCCCTCACGTAATTTGACGTTCCCCTCCTCCATTCTTCTTCTTATTTGTGCTGTTATCTCATAATGTTGACATTGATGTAAAGTATTGCCCTAATAACTCAATAGTCTGTCTTTGTTCTGTCCATTATCACCTATTTTAAAGTAAAATCTGCATATCTTGACGTTTTGCTTTTCAATTTTTTTGACTGTTGTTCAAAATAACTGGGCCAGATTTTTTTGCAGCGTAGGGTCAAATTTGCAGGCAGGACGCATTTGTGGTGTCCAACCCTCATTTTCAGCAGATCCCATTAGTAGGAGAAGAGGATGAATCCTTAATTCTGTAGGGCCTTTTGAAACTTTGAACAAAATGCCTGGGAGAGGTGTTGACATGTTCATGTGCAACTGTAAAGGTGCTAACTCAGTTTCTAGAGCAGTATCCAAATTGGAAAAGTCAAATGCAAATCATTCAAATCAATGTGCAATCAAAAATATTGAGGAAAATTAGTGTCAAACATTCCTTTGTTTTCCCCTATACATCGTTCAAATAGTGTTGAACTTTTAGACTATATTCAGATTGAAACTTTTTTTGAGAATTTATTTAATCCACGTTTTGGATATCTCGAAGGTTATTATTATTTCTGCAGTTTGTATTTAAAGTTAATTTGTCATTGGGTAATTGATAATTTGTATTAACTTTATTCCTTGCAGTTACTTGACTACGTCTCAACTACTTTACTGTTTTCCGACAGAAGTGTTGATAGCAATTTGATTACCTGGAATCGAGTGGTGCTACTTCATGGTCAGTCTTGAATCTTTTGCAATTAATTATCTCTTGTATTTTTGCACTGTTCCAGTCCTTTCACCTTGACTTAGATATTGCTAAACTTGATACCTGCTGTATATCTGAGTACCAGCTCTGTCTGCCCTGGCACTTGCTATTGTAGGTCTTGAATCCTGCCTGATCTCATTACCAGTATTGAGAAATGTATCCTACCCAAGTTTGGAATGCTCAGGACCTCACGTGAGAATCTGTGGCAGCCATGTCAGGAAATCACCAGTCTCCTTATTGTTGGGTCCTTCATGACAAGATGAAATTTGTGGTTAAAGTTCGCACTGTTACATAATTCAAAAATAACTTGTGTTATAAAGCACAAGTTGTAATGCAAGCTACCAAATTTTGTCCATGCCTGTCCAATGTTTAGAGAAATATTTCTTCAGGTACGGATCAGCAACGAACTAATGGAATAGTAGAAATTACTTGAGATAAACCAATCATCCTATTTTTCTTCTGGGTCCCGTCTGGGTTAGGAAGGAGAAAATCAGTCAGTGTGATAGCTAAATAAGATATTGTGGTGCTGTCTGCTTTGGACTAGCATACAGCCATTCCGATTATGATCGGACATGAAGAATGGCTGCAAAGAACTGGAGAACATTCTGCTCTCCAATTTCCAAACTGATGCAGGACAGGAAGGAGTACATAGGCCCAAAATGTACCTTGTAGAATGCATTGAATGATAAACATTGCCTATTGGTTACAATGCCACATACATCAAAACAAATAAATAATCTGTAGGGCAACTTTGCCATGTATCTTATTTGATTTCCTACCTGCTGTTCTAAATTCTTCAATGCTTTCAGTTGGAAAGAACAGTATTCTCAATTGGTTTTGAGTAGCTTTTTCTTAAAATAAAATTGAAACACAACTGTGGGTCTCTCCATGCACAATTTTAGTTTTGTTGTCTTTAGTGTTCCTGCAAGATCTATCTGCATAAATATTGTGATAGAGCAATTGACTCTTCCGTTTGGATAGTTAAGGAACCTGAATAACATGGAAGCCTATCTTTCAAAAACAAGTGACCTAGAGACCTGTGGTGTTAATGGAAAGCTGTTTACAACAGGTAGGATAAACACTGAAGTGTATAGCTTTTTTTAATGTTCAGAATCTAGGATTAAACAAGCATTTAAATTCAATTCAGAACTCACCGGGGTTGAGTTTTGAACAAGTTTAATTCCTCCCCTCTAAGGAGTTCAGGGCGTAAGTCACCTCCTCAGGAGACTTTGCAGGTTATTAGAATTGAGAAAGCTTAGGCGCTAAGATTTGTGAAGAGTTCACATTGACCTATTTGAAAGACTCATCAAACAGTTTTAACTGCCCATGAGAGAGAGAACCGAGAAGGAGTCAGTTAAGTAGAACCCTAAAGAATTGATTTAGAAGGTGTAGTTTCTCTGGACTTGACCCTGTAATGGATCCTGTCAAGAAGCAAGTTGGAACGTTTGATTTGCAGTGTGTTAAGATCTTTCTAACCGTCTTCAATATTTAGACTTTTTTTTCTTTGTACTAAGCTTCTGTTGATAAAGAGAACCTGCAGCCTTGTAAATATATTTCAGCGACTAGCCACCACTTTAAGGAGCCAAACAACAGAAGAAATGCCGGAGGTTTGGTAATATTCTTCCATTATTGAACAGTAGAAATGACAGACCAGGAAATTTACAGGCTGGTCAGTCTAACCTCTCTGCTGAGGAAGTTCTTAGAATTCTGTGGGATAAAATATCTACACTTGGAGAGACACTGATTAATCAGGGATGCACACCATGGATTTGACAAATTTGATCAGTTCTTTTTAGCAGTAACCAGGAGTTTTTTGATGAGGGCATTTGACATGTTTTACATGGAATTTAGTGAGGCTTTTGAGGACCCTTGTGGCAGACTCGTCAAGAAAGTAAAAGCCCAGGAGATCCATGGCAAAGTGGCATGTTGGATTCAAAATTTGCTGAGACAGGAAGCGAGGGTTGTTCCTGTGCCTGGAAGTCTGCTCCTGGTAGGGTTCCACAAGGGCTAGTGTTATTTGTGATATGCTCAAATGATTTGAACTTAAATGTAGAGCGTACGATTGAAAGTTCATGGAGCACACATTGAGAAGGCTAGCTATAAACCGAAGGAGGATGTCACCTGTCTGGTCAGGTAAGCAGAGGAGTGGCAAATGGAATTCAACCCAGAAAAGTGAAGTTATGCTCTTGGGTAGAATTAGAAAGGAAAAGGATAATACTGTGAGTGGTAGGACTCTGGAAAATAATGAAGATCAGAATATCCTTGGTGTGCATATTCACAGATCCCTGAAGGTAGATAAAGCAGTTAACTAGGCATATGGAATACTTGCCTTTATTAACTGAGGCACAGAATACAAGACCAGGGAGGTTATGCTGAAATTGTATACAATGCTGTAGGCCACAACTACAACCATCTTATAGGAAAGATGTGATTGCACTAAGAGGGTAAAAAGATTTACCAGGATGCTGCCTGGACTAGAGAGTCTGAGCTAGGGGGAAAAGATTGGTACAGGCTGGCATTGTTTTCCTGGCAGCAGCCAAGGTTGAGAATGTATACCTCTATCAGGTTCAATAATTGAGTGGCATGGTTAAGAATGCATTCTTTTTCCAATCAGTTTTTTTAAATCACAGGTGGAACTTGGGTATTTCTGGCTGGCGAATATGTATTGCCATTCCCTAATTGCCCTTGAATGCGGTGGTGAGTTGCCTTCCTTGAACCATTGCATTCTGTGTGCTGTAGGTTGACCCACCATGTCTTTACCATGGCGATTCCAAGATTTTGACCCAGTGACTATGAAGGAACAGCAGTATTTCCAAATCATAAGTGAGTGGATTAGAGGGGAACTTGGGGGTGGTGGTCATCCCATATATCTGCTGCCATTGTCCTTCTAGATGGATATGGTGGTTTGTCTGGAAGGTATTGACTCAGGATCTTAGAATATGTGGTGTAGAAATTCAAGATAGTAGCAACAGTGTGTACTGAGCACTGTTGGTGTAGGGAGTGGGTGTTTCTGGGTGTGGTACCAATCAAGGGGGCTGTTTTGTCCTGGATGCTGTCAAGCTTTGAGAGTGTTGGTGCTGCACCCATCCAGGCAAGAGGGGAGTATTCTATCACGGTCCTGACTTGTGCCTTAAATAGGATGGCTTGACTTTGGGGTGTCAGGTGGTGTCACTGCATATTCCTAGTATTTGACCTGTTCCTGTAGCTACTGCATTTATGTGGCAAGTCCTATTGAATTTCAGGTCAATGACCACTCTTGGGATGTTAATAGTGGGGATTCAGTGATGTTAGTGCCATTGAATGTCATGGGATGGTGGTTAGATGGTCTGTTAAGGAAGATGGTCTGGCATTAGTGTGGCATGAATGCAAGTTGCCACTTGTCAGCAAGATTGTCCAGATCTTGTTGCATTTGAACATGGAGTGCTTCAGTGTTTGAGGAGTCATGAATGCTGCTGAACATTGTGTACTCATCAGTGAACATCCCCACTTCTGATCTCAGGATGGACAGAAGGTCATTGAAACAGTTAAAGATGGTTGGGCCTAAGACCCAACAAGTAATCGGGTCAATAATCAGGGAGCATAGATTGAGAGTTGTGATATTTCATTCACCACGAGAATGATGAGAGTTGGAAACTTGCTGTCTGAAAGGGCAGTTGGATCAGAATCTTTCAACATTTAAGCAGTATTTAGATTTAGACTTATTTTATTACAGCCTCCAGGTCTAAGAGCTGAGAGCTGGAAAATAATTATTATAGTCAAATCGTTGCCAGGCACAGACATTATGGGCTGAACAGCTCCTTCTGTGCTGTAAAAGTAGTTGCATCCGTTGAAATCGTAATGAGAGTTACAATCGCATCTGCTTCCACCTCCCTTAGAAGCAGACAATTTTTAGATCATATCTAAATTGTAACCACAAATGTCAATATTTCTTTATATTTTCCCTGTCACAGGACCCCCAGGAACTGGTAAAACATCTTTATGTAAAGCACTAGCTCAAAAACTTACCATTCGATTTTCTCACCGGTAAGTTCAACAAAGGTGTTGCGTTGTATTAAACAATTTCATGGAGGTTTGTAATGTTCTGCATTGATTGCTCACTTTTTTTTTTGTAAATATGGATTCTTTGCTGGAAGTAAAGCATTTGAACGTTGGTGTGTTTTTGGTGTTAACTGGCTATTTTCATGGGTATATAGGGTGATGGGAAAGAATTGGCATGCAAAATATTGTTGCAGAATAGGTGTATAAAACTGTAGAAACTTAACAATTCGATTTAATTCAAATAATTTCTAAACCCTAGATCCACATGATATAGCGGTTTGAGCGTACAAATTGTAATCTTTCCCCTTTCGGGAGTTGGACGTGAATCCATCCCTTTCTGCAGAAACAGCATTCACATTCTTGTGAATATATCTAATATATTTCAAAGTATAAAATTTCCAGTTTTTGATGGATGTTATCAATTAGATTTGTTAGTTGTAAATTCTGGTCTATATTTCACCTTTATAGACTTGTAGTGTAGCAGCACCATTATTCATCTTTGTTGTTTACTCTGGTATTAAAACTGCTGCCAACTTTAGTCACTAGAAAACTAATCCATAGACCTAGGTAATGCTCTGGGAATCCAGGTTCAAATTCCTTTGTGGCAAATGATGGAACTTGAATTCAATAAAATCTGGAATTAACAGTGCAATCATGACCATGAAATCATTGTCAAACGTAGGGAACTGGTTCAATAATATCCTTTTGGGGAAGAAAACTGCAAGCCTTACCTAGTCTGATCTGGCCTACATGTGACTCCAGACTGTCAGCAATGTGATTGTTGAGAGGGGAGTTAAGAGTCAATTAGGGATAGGCAGTAAATGCTGGCCTAACCAGCAATACCCACAACCCATGAATGAAGAAGGAAAAGATGGCATTAGTGATGATGTAAGAACAATGATGTAATATTGTGACTGGGTGTGTTCAGTGGGTGTGTGTTTTCTTTTGTGCTATCGCAACATCCCCAGTCGTTGAATTATTTTTATGTCTGAATAAAGATTTTTGTAGTTGAGAGCATAAAATAGTCTCTCATTTGGAGGAAGTAACAATTTTCAACTCATTTCTTTTCTTTTGTATTTTTATGATGGCATATGTGTTCATTAATTGTCAGGATTAAATTGCCAATGAACTTTATTTTTTAAATGGTCTTCAAGAGGCTGTTCCCACAACTGTGTTTCAGGTACCGGTATGGACAGCTAGTAGAAATCAATAGCCATAGCCTCTTCTCCAAATGGTTTTCTGAGGTAAATCATTGCCATTTATTTTCATATTCAGATTATTTTCTTGTTCAAAATAATTTTGTAATGTTTTAAAGCTTCTCCTTTTTCAAGGCAAAATCTTTTTACTAAATAACCAAGGCTCATTAAATCAGATGCTTTTGATTTTTTTGATCTTTTTATGCCATAAAATGGTCTTCATGTAAATATCTAACATTTCTTAATTCAGTCATGCCCACATTCTGCATTATAAATTTTGTGATGACATTAAAGAATAAACAATATTCTGGTTAGGTCAACACCTGCATTACGTTGCATGAAAGCATAAGTTGTAGTTCACAAAAAACCACTATTGATTTAGAGTGTGTTATTAAACTCTGTCTGTTTTCACTAATTGTAGAAGAGATCTTAGATCATACAATCCTTACAGTGTGGAAGCAGGCCCTTTGGCCCAACAAGTCCACACCGACCCTCAGAGCATTCCACCCAGACCCATCCCCCGATAACCCACCTAACCTACACATCCCTGAACATTGGGCAGTTTAGCATGGCCAACCCACCTAACTCGCACATCTTTGGACTGTTGGAGGAAACCCATGCAGACGCAGGAAGAATGTGCAAACTCCACACAGTTACCCAAGGGTGGAATTGAACCCCAGTTCCTGGCACTGTGAGGCAGCAGTGCTAGCCACTGAGCCACCATGCCATCCTGATGACTGAATGCAAGGCCATCCAGACAAACCTTAATATTAGAGTCGATTTAGTTTGGCAGATACCAGTTTACCTCAGTTATTGATTTTTTTTTTGTTTCTTTTGTCTCGCAGAAATGGAAATAGGACTAAAAGATTTCTCACCATTTTAGGTAGAATTTGCAAACACTTGGTCTTCTATGTAGAAAATCAACAGGGGAGCAGCAAAAAGAACGTTAACAATGAACTACATAAGAACATAGAACATAAGAACAATTTTAATTTGAAAATCTCTTCTTAAACAGAGTGGAAAACTTGTTACAAAAATGTTTCAAACCATTCGGGATCTAATTATGGATACAGAATCTCTAGTATTTGTTTTAATTGACGAGGTAAGACCATCTGTCCTATAGAACATCTAAAACTAGCACTGCTGTGGCAAGTTTGAATCTGCTCATGAGTCCTTTTCCAAGTTTTTTGTTTTGACTATGATGAGATGAAATAAGGTGAGCAGAGACTTTTATGGAACATAAACACTGTCTCAAACTGAAATGACCTGTTTCTGTGCAGTAAAATTTGATTTTTGTCCAGCACTTGTTTTAGAAGTTTAGAAAGCCAAACCTGATGATCTGCCACTAGATGTCACTGGACTGCTATGAACTGTCATTTTAACTGGCAGAAAATTGGTAGTGAAATTTGTTAATAATTACCTGCTTCAGTTTAACATTTAATTTAGCACATTGTACTATTAATAGCTTTATAACATCTCATTAATGTAAAATGTTTCAATGTCTGGACATGAAAAAGTCTTTCTGCCCAAAGTTTTGTAAATGAGCTTGGTAGCCAATCCATGCACAGCATGATTGCAAACAGCAATGAGATAAATGCACAGCAAGCCAGGCAGCATCTGGATGAAAGGAGAAGTCAGCGTTTCGGGTATTACCCTTCAGGACTGGATGTCGTGGTAGGGGGCTGCTGCAGATAGAGAGGTAGGGAAGAGGGTAGTGGAATGGTGGTGATAGTTTTTCACACCAGTGTCCACCTATCATCAATCCTGCCCAGTTTTGTGATGTCAGCAAACAAGGAAATGTTACACCTCTCGCTCTCAAAGGACAGAATTTTACTTAAATAGTAATATTTCTGGAAATCTAAATGTACAGAGATCTGGGTGTCCATGTACACCAGTCAATGAAAGTAGACAGGCAAATTGTATTTTGGCCTTTGCAAGAGGATTTGAGATCAGCAATCGGATGTCTTGCTGCTGGTTTGCAGGACCTTAGTGAGGCAACACCTGGAGCATTGCATGCAGTTTTGGACTCCCAAATTAAGAAAGGATATACTTGCTATTGAGGATGTGCAGCAGAGGTTTTATTAGGCTGATAGTGGGGATGGAAGGACTGTCCTAAAGAGTTTTGTTTAACTGGGCCTGTATTTACTACAGTTTAGAGGGATGAGTCAGCATCTGATTCAAATGCAAGTTTTAAACGGGGCTGGACAGACTAGATGCAAGGAGGATATTTTGCTTGCTGGGGAGTCTAGATCCAGGGGTCACCAGTCTCAGGACTGAAAGAGGAAAGATTTTTTCGTCCAGAAGTTAGCGAAGCCGTGAAATTCTCTACCCAGAACGTTGTGGAGCCCAAGTGGCTAAATACATTTAAGAAATATACATTTATAGATTTTAAAGGCATCGAGAGGTAACTGGGGAAAGTGGGAATAATGGTATTGAGATAGAGGGTCATGCCGATCCTATTGAATGGCTTGGAGGGCCGAATGTTCTACTGTTTCTCGTTTATATGTATCATGACCTTAGGATTTTGGAGGGCTTGTTCAGACTCTTTCCTGGCTTTCCCTGGAAGTTGACATTGTTAGTGATTGAGAAGAATAATTCCCTAGACTTTACTGTCTAATATGCAGTTGGCACTGTGCCTATGTACTTGTGTTATTAAATCTTGGCTTTTGCTATTGTCATCACCTAAACCATTCAAAATGCAAGTCCTTCCAGTCAACCTTGGAAATCCAATATTCTCAATCGTATGTGTTCAAACTGGAATCTCCAGATTTTAAAGGCCTGATATTATCTCATTCAATGGACCCCTCTTTACAGAGTTAAAATCATATCCTAGGAATTTGTAAAAGCACCTAAAAGTCTATCAAATTTCTTAGTTGCTTTGCTGCTGTGTCATCTCAGGAACATAAAAATAACAGTAGGCCATTTGGTCAATTGTGCCTGTTCCTACATTCAATGTGATCGTGGCTGATCAGTGATCTTAATTCATATGCTTGCCTTTAGCCAAAACACATTTAGAGATATGGGTAATCAAAATCTGTCAGTCTCTGCTTAGATTTCATAATTGATCTGGTATCAATTGCTTTTTGTTGGAATTTCCAAATATATTTTTGTGTAGAAGTGTTTCTTTGAAATATCTGGCATTAACTTTTAGACCATCCCCTAAGTCCTAGGCTTCCCAATTATATATTTCTATCCATCCTATTTGTTTCCTTTAAACCCTTGAACTTTGATCAAATAAACTTCTATAATTTCAGGGAATGCAAGCCTAGTTTGTGTAAATTCCAAGAGGAGATTAACCCTTGGTGCCCAGATATAACTGAAATTTACACTGCAATTCCTCCAAATGTATCCTTAAAGATTTTGGTGTTCAGAACTGCTCACCACTCCAGCTGCTGTCTAATCAAGTCTTTATATAGTTTAAAGCATGACTTTAATCATCTTATTCTAACCCTCTAAAGGCCAACATTCCATTTGCCTTTTTTTTTTGATTGCTGTCTGCACTTAGGTGTGACATTTTAATGTAGGTGACTGAACTCCTAAGTCTTTGTCACCGATGCAGAATTTTTAGCTCTGTTCTTTGTCTGGGGATGTTGTTGTTAGTAATGCTTGGCAAATGATTTTAATAATTCATTTTTAAAATTAAATTAATCTGTTAAATACATCTGTGCAGAAGCTTGTGGCAATTTAAGTGACAATGAAACATTATACAAAATTTGGAGGAATTTGAACAGCGAACATATTTTTGAAAGTAGTAATTATTTGACCTGAAGGATGAACATAAAAATTTGCATTGCAGGCCATGACCTGTTTTATAGGTTAACAATGCACTCGTGTCACTTGTGCTACAGGTCGAAAGTTTGACAGCAGCTAGGAATGCTTCAAAGTCTGGAACAGAGCCATCTGATGCTATTCGAGTAGTTAATGCTGTATTGACACAAATAGACCAGATCAAAAGGTAAGTTTTTTTTTTTTAAATTGCTGTAGCTGTTTCTGTATAGTACATTTTACTTTGACCATTTAACCAATTAACGAATCATGTTTAAAATTGCTGAATTAATCTTTATTTTATCAAGACTAATCTCTACATCTTTTTAAGTCCTGTAGGTTCCAACATTAATCGATCTTATGTCATTAACTTTTTATTTGCCCCTAACAGTTGTGTGTTTTGCCACACGTTGACCATCATTGCTTTGCAATTTGAATGTAGCCATTCTCAGCCTGCATAATGATTGTGTTCCTAGGTTTTCACAGCTGTATCAGGAGGGTAACATTGGTTAATGTTAACACATTTCTGTTCATTGTGATGCAGGCAAAGAAAGCCTCTATCTGCCTGAGGCATTCTGGTCAGACACTGAGAAGGCAGTTGTGGGTAGACCTATAGGACTGAAAAATTGCAAATGTTAAAAACTTATTCAAAAAGGGTCTAAAAATCTAGCAAAAGTCAATTTGACTTTGATAGTAGGAAAACAGAATAATCTAGGATAAAATTGAATCTCAAATAAGTGTGGACTAATGAAGGATAGCAAGTGTGGATTTATTTATAGTAAATCTTAGTTAATTATTATGGATTAAGTTTTTGATGTGGTAGCATGAGGAGTGTATTGGGTTTCATGTGATGTAGTGATGGTACACGGACTTCCGAAAGACTTTTCACTAGTGTGAAAGCTCACAAAGAAAAGAAATGGCATTGGTATGAAGTGAGCTGAGTAACAGGAAACGGAATAATGGCGAACAATTGCTTATTGGACTGGAGGGGGGTAATCAGGTTACAGACTGCTACTTTTTTTTTAAATGGGGACAATTTCCAAACTTGCAAATAACACCATACCTGGAGGTTTTATGAACTAGGAGCAATAGTTATATTCTTTTTGAGATGTGGTAGGCTGGTGGAATGGACGGACACCTGGCAGATAACTACATTTTGTTCGAAGAAAGTTATTCATTTTCATAGGAAGAATGAGGAGAGGTAATTATTTTTAAAAAGTAGGATTCCTAAAGGTTAGAGTGTGCGAAGAGATCTCTGGTATATGTGCACTGTTTTTGTTGGGGCAGGCCGAGAGGCAAAATTCTCTGTTCTGTAAATGAAGGCATGAAATGCAAAATCAAGGAAATTATGCTGAACCTTTTATAAAATAATAGCCCTCCCCAATTGGGAGCATTTGTGTCCATTTCTCTTGGGTAGGATGCGAGAGCTTTAGGCTATGTGTAGAAAAGATTTCTGCAGGCCTCCAGTTATGTGGATAGGGTGGGAGAAACTGGGTGTGTTCACTTTAGAGGAGAGAAAGTTGAGATTAGATTTGATCGAGGTATTCAAACACATGAGGACTGTAAACAAAGTAGATGTCGAAGCTGTTCTCATTGACCATCGAGATAAGAATCAGGACACCAATAAAAGGAAAATGACAAATGAACCAAAGGCAACTTGAGGGGAAAACTATTTTATACAATATGTGGTTAGGATCTGGAATGTACTCAAGTATGGTGGTGACGTTCATGGCTTTTGAAACGATATTGGAAAAGCAACTGAAGAAGGGAGAATTTGCAGTACTACAAGGTGGGGAATAGGACAAATTGATTTATTGTCACTGGGAAAAGCAAGAATACAGTTAAACAGCCTCCTTCTGTGCTGTAACTCGTATGTGTGATTTTCTACTTCAGCTATGCCTTTCCACACAGTAGCCTTATCCCTTGATTCCATTATCCAAAAAATTCATAACTCAAGAATTGAAATTTCTCCTTGTCTCAGTCTTAATTAGTTGGCATTTTATTCTGAGACTGTCAGCCTGGAGTGGGGGACAATCAGCAAAAAGCTTCTTGACCCTTTTCTTGTCATCCTTAGTTTGATCTGTCCTCATGGATTAGGCTGCCATAGGTTCTGGAACTCGAGTTGGTGCTACACTGCTGAGAGATTGCCCCTGTGGACTGTACTGTCTCCACTCTTAATGTTCTGCGTCTATGTTTCTGTTTTATCTAAGTAAGTTATGTCTCATTCTTAGGAGTTCCAGCAAACAGACTGGTGTCTTTATTTACATGCTCTTACACAAAATACAGATGTTTTAAAACAGCACTACTGTACAAGCTATTCCAGTCATGTGTGCTTACGTGCATGCACACACACCATTATCAATTGTGGTAGGAGAAATAGAAAAGCAGATTGTTTAAGTGGTAAGGGGCTGGGAAATGTTGGTATTCAGATGAACTTCAGAGGTGTTGGCGGATGCATTTGCTGAAAGTAATTTTATATTGTGAATATTATTTTCAGCATGACCACTCTCGTGGAAGTTGAAATATCTATTTTCAGAACAGATTACATCATTGCTAAATTTCTCATTGAACAAATTCAATTTTAATGTAATGTTTGGTGAGGATTTTTAGCTAAAGTCAAACCAATTTTGGAGCATGAACTGAATTGGATTTAGACAACAAATGGAGGAGATAAATAGTTGCTTTGTATTTTTGTTTTCCTGCTGCTGGCTTCCCTGTACCATGTGAGTCCTTGCACAATGCTTTCTCTTCCAACAGCGAAGGTTGACAGGCAAAAGCTCTCAAATCCTGTTATAACAAGATGGTGAATGGCAATTGGTTATCCTTCTGGTCTGTTCAGCACCTGGTGTTTTGTTATAGTGATGAAGTGAATTATGATTGGAAAAATGACAATGAACCTACATCTTAATGTATTGCATGAATCATCTGTGCAATTACAGGAACATAAAGACAGGAGTAGAGTATTCAGCCACTGCAGCTTGTTCTGCCGTTCATTTTGCTCGTGGTAGATCTTGGATCCATTTACAAAAACCAAAAGAACTGCAGATATTGTAAATCAAACAAAAATATAAATTGCTGGAAAAGCTCAGGAGGTCTGGCAGCATCTGTGGCAAGAAATCAGTTAATGTTTTGGGTTCTGAAACATTGCGTCATTCAACCTGAAATGACTCTGATTTCTCTTCACAGATGCTGCCAGATCTCCTGAGCTTTTCCAGCAATTTCTATTCAGCTCCATTTATATCACTTCCTGTCTCCACTCCAAACCGAGATCAGTACCATTTGTCAAAAAACCTTTTATGCTGCTGTTTTGGGTGACTTTATTTTAGTGACTTAAAACAGTTCTCCTTTAACTACAATCAAATTAACACGTCCCTTTAGATTTAATAGATGTTGGTGGTATGTAAGATGGTGTAGATGAGGGAGTTTCTGTGTAACAAGTATAAATGAGTGAAAAGATATAAACATTTATGAAAGAATAAGCAATGCCTTTTGCTTTGGCAAATGTTCTGATTATAATCAATGTGAGAGAACAGCCTTGTGTTTGAGTATATGGACATGAATATATTTTGAATATATCTGCAGGTTAATCTGATCAGAGCTACCTTTCATGACTTTTGCTTATGAAATTTTTGTCTAATCAGGCTTTGCTCTACAAAGTGCTTGCAGGCATATTAAAGTTATTATGTAGCTGAAAAGATACTGTTACAGTGGAAGGGAAGATTAGAAGAAAGTGAAGTCTGTTATTGAAGAGGAATACCTCTTGTTAAGACTTTACATCATGCATTTAATAGGGCAAATGTAAGAATACCAAATTTCAAACGGCCACAATAATTTATATCACCTGGTAAAGACGGTGCTGTTTTGCTGGCAAGTCAACTGTAATTAGCCAAGGTATTGCCATGGAAAAATAACAATGGGATTTCTAATTGAAATTTATCAATGGAATGGTATGCCTTAATTATTTTTAAAAATATACAATTTTGGAACAATGAATTGCCATGGGTATAATTCAACCTCCATGTCTTCTGTTCCCTGACTTGAGAGAAGATTTTTTAAACTAAAATTTGTACTGACAAGCTCCTCCCCCATACTTGTGATTCTTTTCTCTGCACTCCTAGATTTCCCAATGTTATAATTCTGACTACGTCAAACATCACAGAAAAAATAGACTTGGCTTTTGTGGACAGAGCAGATATCAAGCAGTATGTTGGGCCACCATCTGCTACAGCTATTTTTAAGATCTATCTCTCCTGTCTGGAGGAACTAATGAAGGTATGGTGCCATTTCTCCTGTTTGCTGAGAAAATTTAAGCTTGTGTGCTGAGATTGCTAAATTATTGACTTTGGAAGAGTGAGTAAGAAGATAATGAAGTATCTGTGGAATCATTTACCTCTTTCTTTTGACTTTTTTTTTAGTGCCAAATCATCTACCCTAGGCAGCAACTGCTCACCTTGAGAGAATTGCAGATGATCAGCTTCTTAGAAAATGATGTGTCCAGGCTAAGTTTAGCACTTAAAAATATTGCAGCGTAAGACAATTTTGTTGTTTTATTGTTCCACTACTCCTCCAACATAAAATGTGTGAGGACTGTGTACTTCTGAGTTTTCAATTGATTTTTTTTACTACATTTTCAGGATCATTAACAATAAAAATCAATATTATAATGTAGCCATATTACCATTGGATAAATGAAGTTGTTGATGGATTTGATCAGTTTCACAATGCAGTCAAGTAGTCAGTGCATATGGTATGATTTTTCTCCCTTGATATTGTTTTCCAGACATTGTTTGTGGGCGAGAGGTGACCTTAAAGAAGTTTATAAAATAATGAAGAGTATAGATAGAGTTAATGGTAGTTGTCTTCTCCCAGGGTTTGCGGACTTCAAGACTATGGGTCACATTTTTAGGGGAGGGGAGATCAATTTTTTAAAAAAAAAAAGACAGTGAAGGGAAAATTTTTTTAACAAGATGGTTCATGTGGAATGGACTTCATGAGGAAGTGGTGGATGTGGGTACAATTACAACATTTAAAAGACATTTGGATAAGTCCATGAATAGGAACAGTCTGGAATGATTATGGACCAGGAGCAGGCAAATGGGACTAGTTTAGTTTGGTATTATGTTTGGATTGGACTGGTTGGACCCAAGGGCCTATTTCCAAGCTGTATGATCAAGAAAGATAGAAGCTGTTTTTGTGTGTTGTGAAGCTTAGGACATACAAAAGTAATCCTGCACCTACCCTGATTTACCCAACCTACTCTTTCAACTATGGAAATGCTTTGCTGTGTTTGCACTGTGCGTGTGCTGATCAGGCACAACTTTTTTTTGCCCTTGAAGATTACTTTTTGATTTTTCACGTGATACAGTCAATAGTAGGGTTAGGATTAGGGTTAGGGTTACCTTCGGTAATTGTTTAGACACAAAGGGTTTTATGGATTCCGTCAGAAGTAGAAGGAAAAGAATTAATATCATCAATAATGATCAACCTCATTAAGTTTGAAGACTGAGCACACAAGGAGAGCAGTCATTACTTAGAAACAATTGCATTTAAGTTGGTACAAATCAATAGCAGTAAGTTAGCAAACATTTTTGTGTGTGAAGAAGCATACGTCAATCATTTTGAAAAACATCACCCTGAATGCACCTGCCACAGATTGAGGTTACAGTTACTGCGATTCTACTGCAAACCCACAAAGCTAGAAAAAATTAATTATTCACTTATTGCCCATTCCTTACTCTTTACTGTATCTCAGATGATCTGTCTCCAATTTAAATGTAATAGTTGGTGTTTATTAGAATAACATCCATTGGTGCTGTTGTGGTGCAGTGGTCACGTCCCTACCTCTGAACTTGAGGCCTAGATTTTCCAGGCGTGTATAATAATATCCTTCAACAGGTTAATAGGAAAATATGCTGTCCACCACAAACTTTTCCATTGAGTAGCTCCTGAACGTATATAGTCTTAAGCTAGAGATACAGCTTTCATTTGCAAGTAATTCGTTACCTCAGTCATTTATTGTTCTGAGAGTTGCTAGTTAGCAAAGATGTTGACTGGTTTGAACATTCTTTCCAGCCTCCTTTTCCCTCTCCCTTTGAGCCTACCTCTCTCTCCCATAAATCCCTTGTCTTCCCTTTCTGTCCCAGCATCCACACCCCGACTGCTCTCTCTTTTCATTCACACTGACGTGGTCTCTGTTGTTCATTCACTTGCCCCCTTGATTTTTGCTTAAAGTACCTACAAATTTCTTCCCTATACTAACAGACTTGGTCCCATGACACTGGTAAATTGAGAACAGAGCCCAACAACTCCACCCCATCTCTCTATTGTGTACTATGTTGGTGTGTCAGCGTTTCAGCAATGTAGACTTACTTTTGCTCTGATAAATGTTGGTATCAAGTTGACTGAGTTTGAAAATTATATTTTATAGCTAAAGCCTTTCAACTGTGGATTTTTTTAAGAAAATAATTTTACATTCTGAATCTCGCATTCTCTCTGAAATTAGTTCTCTTTTATAATTCAAGTGCTGGTAATTTTTTATTAATATAAGACCTGACTATTTTATAAATCTTGGCTTCCATTGTGAAGACTTTTTCCTTTTTATTCAATGTAGGAAAAGTGAAGGACTGAGTGGACGAGTTTTGCGAAAGCTGCCTTTCCTAGCTCATGCACTGTACATTCAGGTAGGTTCCGCGACAATGAATCTGTATGTCGACTTCACTGACTGACGTAGCTGACTTCAGATTACTTTCAAATGATGGATGCCCAAGGAGTGATTTCATTAGATTAGTACTTCATAAAAGCAAAACACTTTTGTTGCTGGATGTATAGAATAGAAACGGAAGGTGAAATGCTCAGCACAACAGTTAGCATATGAGTAGAGAGATTGAGTCAGGTTTTTAAGTTTGGACAAAATGTCATCAACCTGAATATTAATTCTGATTCTCTTCACCAAGATTGACCTAAGTAGCCTCTGCTTTTTCTGATATTCCTACTTTTTTTTTTTGACACTGAACTTGAATTTGGTTGACTGGGATGAGTGTGTTCAAAACCATCAGAGACACTTCATAGTTCACAAATAAATGTGAAAGGGCTGAGGGTATGTTGGAGGTTTTGGTTTTTCCTTGTTCTTTACTTTTGGAGCCCAACTTAAAACAAGAATATTACTGTAGAATTGTACCCATCTGACCAGGTGATTTACAGTGTACCTTAATGCAAGAGTCTCAAATCTATCCACCTCTATGGGTCCAGTTCCATAGGTGCTCTGATCAATGGCAAGAAACTTCTAGTTCAGTATAGCTCAGTGTCTGAGTTATCCCAGCCCAGAAACTTGAGCACATAAGCAGGCTGACAACTCCCAGTGCAGTACTGAAGGAGGGTTTTACTGAGATATTGAGCCTTTGAGCTGACACAATAAACAGATTCAATAGCACTACTCAATCAAAAGCACGAGTTGTCAGAGTCTTCTGGTCCTTGATCAACATTTTGGTGAACAGATTATCTTGTTATTATCATATTTCTGTGCTGAGAACTTGTTCAGAAATTAGTATCGTTTCAGTACATTACAATGGTTGGTGGTTACACTTCACAAAGTACTTGATTGTGAAGTCCTTGGGAAAATCCTGAAGTTGTAAGAGGTACTATGTAAATGAAAAATCTGTCTTTAGCTTTGAAGCCTTTTTTGGTCTTGTGATGGATCTATTTATTTGGGAATACCTGTCTTGGATTTTGAAGTTTTCAATTTGCAGTATTTCTGATTTAATTCAGTGCAAATGATTTGCAATTTCTACTTATTCCCTTTTGTTCAGTGGTTGTAGCTTTATATTTAGCAATTTCCCATTTTTCTACAACAAAGAGGCCTGGTCACTGCCATGGCTATTGAGCCAGCATTTGGTGGCACAGAAGAACTGAGTGAAGCTAGGTCCATGAAGACCAAAGGATAATCCTTTCTCAGTGATAAGTGGTGTTCAAGGAAATATTCAGTGTTGTTTGCCCCAGTCATCATCTTCAGCTACTTCATCAATGACCTTTTCCTTTATCTTGAGTTAAAAATTAGAATGTTCACTATTGATTAGGAATGAAACTAAATATTATGCAGTTTCTCAGCTAATGAAGCAATTGTCTGTCTTGCAGCAAGACGCAAGTCCATTTGGGTTTAATCTGATACCTGGCAAGTAACAGTCATGCCATGCAAGTACCGACCAATGATTATGTACAGGTTCCCTGTATTACTTTTGTGAATGCTTCACTGACAGTGTCCTGAAGCATAACCATATAAACAATATGGCTCAGAGTATGTCACAGACTAGAGACTTTGAAATACGGTCTCTTCCTGATCCCTCAAGCTTTTTGCAGCATCTGTAAAGGCACAAGTTGAGTGTGTTGTGATAGAAAGCTCTCCACTTGCCTTGATGTTGTATATCTAACAATATTCGAAGATTACAATATCCAGAAAAAAGCGGCTTGTTTGATTGGCATCCTTGCATCATTGTAAGTACTTACACTCCACCACTTGTGTACTGTAGCTGTATTGTATGCTTTATGCGTGGCATCAACTTACCCACATTTTGCCAAACTTGACTTGAACTTGGGATGGTACAAATCAGTGGTTGTGTGAAAACATCAATGCATGCAAGTTCCGCTCGCACACCATCCTTATTTGCAAAGTTATCATTGATCCTATATCATCCTGCTGAGTCAAAATGCTGGAATTTATCTAAGAGCCCTTTCCCCGTGTGGATTAGCGCTTTTAAAGATGGCAGCTTACCTCCATCTTCTAGAGGGCAATTAAGAAAAGGCATCAGATAAACATTACCAGTGATTCCCATATACTGTATTTTTTTAAATCAGTTATTTATGAAGGAAATTAACAGTTTGCTTTTGCATACTGTCTTTGAAAATTGTTCAGATAGGTGGTTGCTGAAAATTGAGTTCTACCAGTATCTAGAGATTAGTTGAAGGATTGGCACCATGGCACACTTGCAACTACTTCAAGATATTGCATCTTGGTAAACAAAACAAAAGGCCAGATCAACTAAATTGACCCTTTTCCTTACAGGAAAATTGTATTTTGTACATTAGCCCTCATTGTTTCTT